CCTGCAATTTTTATTGGCTCCGAGCCTAATTTTTGTAGATCCTTAGCCCGGGATTTTCTTGACATAAGGGAATCCGTTAAATACAGTATACTGTAATATAAATTATACAGTATAATATTATTTATATTTGATAATAAGTATTATATTATTCAAAAGCATGCTTTATTTGACAAGTATTCAATATAATGTATAAAAATTGATGTTCAACCGATTTAACTAACAGTAACCGATTCTACGTATATTACGTGAAAATTAATTCATATCTTAAATTTAAAAAATTGCTACCGACACATCACAAGGACTGGCACCGACATCTACTTAATCAAACTGTCAATTAACAAATTCAATATAAATGTACAATAGGGTTTTACTATTGTAAATAGAAATAAACCACCAATTTTCTAAAAGTATGTTCATATATAAATTTAGCTTTCCGAATATAAGTGACTGAATAATGTCGATATTGTTATTTGTAATTAAAATTTTAGCCCATCAAATAATCGAAAGTAACTAATGACGCGATAGTGCATTTTATTTTCGAGATACAGTAGTACATTTGATTAAATTAATAATTATATAATCCTGTAAAGTTAGATAACCAATTACAGGTTAATGCATCATATATTCCTTATTAGTCATATCGAATTCAATTGTGCTTTCACCCGTTTGTTATCTTTCAATGACAGGTCTACATATGATAAAAATAAAACAGTAATTATTAAAAAAAAAAAAAAAATTAAAATTTTTTCTTTAAAAACACTTGACTAACTTGATATCATTAAATACGAAAGTAATGGCGATGTATATGAAAATGAAGTAATTGCACTGGGATTTCTTTTTTCAATAACAATTAGTAAACCTTTATTGGTATTCAATCGATCGTAACGTTAAGTTCTTAGCGTTAGGCCTTTGCATCATATCTGCGTATTAGATGGAATTGGATCCATGTGATCAGCATTTTTTTTTTTTAATTAATATAACCGCTCGACCAATCCAATACCGAATTCCGGGTTAGACCCGAAAAATTCATGTATAATTACTAATACTCGATATACGATTTCATGTGTAATTCTTGGCGCGAATTGCGAATCCTTCAGCACAGCCAGTCAGCTTTTTTTTCTGTTTTTGATAATATAGTAATTACATTAGAGATGCGTATAAATTATCGCTTAAACAAATGCTAATGACAAAACATAATTCGTTTCGAAAGATATTAGAAACTTTTGTCATCTATTGCGCCATCTATGAAACACTGAAATTGGGTATATTAAATGAAATATAATTAAGTAAACATATATGCATACTGGCTTCTTATTCATGCGCATGTACTCAATAAACAGGTTAGAGATAGATAACATTCATTTTGTATCACATTATAATGCACAATGATAAAATTGCTATCTATACGAAGTAAACCACGATTCAACTTTAAACTTGAATAGATATCAAAAAAAAATTACTAAAGCTACAAATTGAACATCACCAGCTGACCCCAGGTGGCTTGTTTATTTAGTATGCTTATGCATGTATAATTCACAAATCCAAGAATCCAGTATTTGGTTATTCATAAGCATTTTATTGTTCCGATACCGCTAAATGTTAGCGTGTTAGGGAGTTTTTCACATTATCTTGTTATTTTCTTGAATTTTTACATAATACCCCATTTATGAATATTCTAGCATGAACACGAGAACCAAAATAACTAAAATGAAGATGATCAAGATATAATTGCTTTAGTGTTTGTCGTGCAATCATTTGTGTCCCGTCGCGTGAATGCTTTATATATAAAATTACACATGTAGACTATTCTCAAAATATTAATCGATTAAACAAACTAATCATGTCATTATAATTTCTATAATTTATCTCGGACATTATGTAATTCTTTCTATTTGAGGTTCATTTTCCTTGAAATTCTTTCCAAAGTAGTTTTCCGTAATTCTACTTTCAGGCTTTTTTTTTTTTTGAGGCATGATAATTCACTGAGAAAGGGAAACCCACTTTTTTTGTGTATTGTTGCTTGTGTCTTATTTAGTATATCGGCGCGCGCGATAAGGGGACACATTTCAATGTAATGGTCACAAGAACTTGTCGTGCATGCACATCTATCCTGTCAAATGACCTCGCCTTCTAAATTGCCGAATTTTCTTTCATTACTCAATGAATCATAACTTCAAAGAATTGATCCCTCCCTTTTTCATGTATATATAGAAGTGTATCGGCTGTTTTCGAACTGTTTTAAAATTTTCGGTTGTTTTTATGAGGATAAAAATTCCCTATTTTTATGAATTATAAAATTATAAATATTTAAAAAGAAACCCTTTAATGTAATTCGACACGTTATATTATCCTCGCTTATTTATTCGTGGTTTATTTTAATTATTAAATAATAAATAATTTATAATTGATCCTAATATAGTGTTCTAGTTTTACTGAACTGGTTAACATGAAGCCGGTCAAATTCTCTCTTCTTGCTTGGGCCTTGTTGACCCTCGCTTCTTCTGTCCCTGGACACGCTCACGTCGTTTCGCCGAGAAACGTTGGAGCTGCCCGTCGAACAAACTTTGGACCTGAGTTAAATCACCGTACTTATAGCGCTCCCTCAATAAATAAGTTTGGTACTTTTACCGCTTCAGATGACGCTGATCCTAAAGAGATTGCTATCAAGTTTGTCAGGTCAAAACTTCACCCGAAAGCTGACTTTGTGATTAAAAATATCTATAAATCTGATCATAATGGAGTTACCCATGTATACTTAAAACAAGTTGTTAATGGTTTACATGTCACTAATGGTGACATTAATGTTAACATCGACCAATATGGTAGAGTTATATCGTATGGTGATTCGTTCGTTAAACCTAATCAACAAGTGACTCCTCCTCCAATAAAGCTCTCCAAAGATGGAGTAAAAGTAAATCTTGTTGCTGGAGATTTTCGATTGGTATTTAATGAACACGAAACTATATACCTAAAATCTACCGATTCAACTTCCGATTCCGTTACTTATTCTATTAATGATGACGTTGGTTCTGTCATTTCCCCGGAAGAAGCCTTAGACTCTTTGGCTCGCTTTATTAACCAAGAGATTCCCAATCCCGAAAATATCAAGTACACTGAAGTTGGTACGTTTGGAGAAATAGATTCGTTTCTGTTACTCACCAATGTACCGTTTGCCCTCTCCGACGTGAGAATGAGCCAGTCATATATTCAATTGGATGATCAAAAATTACAACTCGTTTGGGATATTCAAGTAGAGATGGAAGATAATTGGTATAATGCTCATGTTAATGCTAACACTGGCGAACTTATCGCGCTTATGGATTGGGTTTCCGATGCTGCATATAATGTTTTTCCTCTTGGTACTAACGATCCTTCGGACGGAGGTCGAGAGATTGTGACGAACCCTTTTGATATTTTCGCTTCTCCATTAGGCTGGCATTCTCAGGGCAAAACAAACTATACCAAGACTATTGGAAATAATGTGTATGCTCATGAGAACTTAAAAGGAAATTACGAATGGGAGAATAATTATCGTCCTGAAGGTGGCAGTTTATTAACCTTCGATTTTCCTTTGGATTTGACTAAGGCCCCAAAGACCTATATTGATGCCTCCGTTACTAATCTCTTTTACTGGAATAATATAGTACTTATTACATGATTTAATTTCGTTAAATGCCACTTTTAAACAACCATTTAGCCAATTAATAATACATTTTTAAATTCAAAGATCCATGACTTATTCTATCGATATGGTTTCAATGAGGTTGCCGGCAACTTTCAACAATATAATTATCAGAAAGGTGGAAAAGACAAAGATGCTGTAATCGCAAATGCACAAGATGGTTCCGGGTATAATTATTTCTTATATATATGCATATTTATTTTCAAAAAAAAAAAAACTCTTTTTAACGCAATTAATAATTTCAGATATAATAATGCTAATTTCGCCACACCACCGGATGGTCAGCACGGTAAAATGCGAATGTATGTATGGGATGTCATTGAACCATGGCGAGACGGAGATTTGGAATCGGGGATTATTGTATGTATCGAATGCATTAAAATGTAATTCGTATGTATCACAATGATTCAATTATGCCTAATCATGTTGACAAAATTTTTAGATTCATGAATATTCTCACGGCATTTCCACTCGTTTAACTGGTGGACCAGCAAATAGTAATTGTCTTGGATGGGGCGAAGCTGGAGGAATGGGCGAAGGTTGGAGTGATTTCTTTGCAACAATATTACGCATGAGTCCATCCAATGATAGACACAGTGAATTTGGAATGGGCGATTGGGCAAATGGTGGTGAAGGCATAAGACGCTATCCGGTACGTTATGATTTAATTTAATTATTTCGATATTTCTGATACATTTATTTATTTATTATTATTATTTTATATATAGTACTCTACCTCCTTTAAGACAAATCCAGAACTCTTCTCATATTTGGACAAACCAGGATATTGGGGTGTGCACGCTAAAGGGTGCGTTAAATAATTTAAATAATAATTTAAATAATAGATGTCTTGTAATTAACTATTACTTCTACTTTTGTTCAAAAATAATATAATGTTATTAATAGGGCTGTGTGGGCCGAAATTTTGTATGAAGTATTCTGGAACCTAGTTGATAAACATGGATTCACGCCTGATTTGTTCCCTCCAGTTTTAGATAAACTTACACCTCCATCTTCATCGGATTGGTATTCTCCCGCATCAAAACCCAACAAACTAATTCCAAAATACGGTAATACCCTTGCACTACAATTAGTGGTAGACGGGTTAAAACTTCAACCATGTCGTCCATTCTTCACGGATGCACGTGATGCAATCATACAGGCTGACGAATTACTCACAGGTGGAGAAAATTTATGTGAAATTTGGCGAGGTTTCGCGAAACGTGGACTTGGTGTGGATGCCAAAGTAATAGGAGGAAGTCCATGGGGAGGTGGTGTTCACAAAGACAGCTTTAAGATACCTAAAAAATGCAAAAAGGATGATGACGATGATGATTACAGTGATAGTGATAACGATGATTAAGAATTTAGAATTAGGAAACGAGTTAGTGATAAAAATAATTTTTGGAAATTATTTTATTTAAACGTAATTTATAATACAGATAAGGATAAATTTTTTTTTTTATTGTGGCATGTACAAAGTTTTTAATATGATAACGAGTGTTGTACATATGAATCAAATTTTTTTGATGGAGAAATAAAGATTAAATTCTTTTGTTCATGTAACCAAAAAAAGATTAGTCTATCGGCAAATATCTATTTTTGTTATCCAATAAGTTTTTCTTTCATGGTGAGTTGGGATCAAATTTATT